GGCCAACATAGAGTGAAATATACAGTCAATATTAGATTACAATTACATAGGCTAGGCGTGACTTAGTGTTTAGCGTGCCCGGACTATGAATATAAATTCATGGTTCGCGTCCTGTTGCTTCAAAAACGCCTTCACCCACTTTCAGACTGTTGGTGCGCTATACAAATGACGACCAAATCCTACTATTTGGTTAGACAAGAGTAGCTCAAAAGTTGTAGGTGGGTGATGTTCACTGGTCGGCTTCTCTCTAGTCTAGCAGTTCAAAATTGGGGATGACTATGTGAAACTGGTCCTTGTGTAGCTATGCGCAAATATTTTCAATAAACTGAAATAGTTTATAGCACTGTGAAATTCACTTACGTTTATAAGTATATGCTACATCAGTCAACTGAAACACTAAAACAACATTGACTGACTAACAATACATTGGAAATGCTTTATTAAACATACAGGGTGTCCATAAGGTCTGGAATCAATGTAAACTTAATTTATTTGAAACATTTTAAAATTAATTTTATGTTTTAATCTTTTCGTTGCAGGCTTGTGTTGCCCATACGTAACAACCATGTCGTTAAGCTTACAAGAGCGCGTTGATATTATCCTCTTGTGTGGACGTCAAGGTGAGGAATAGCTGCGGAGTTCAGTAACAAACATCCGGAAAGAAATCCAATATCTCAATCATGCTGCAACGTTTACAAACATGTTTTGAACTTGGCAGTGGCCATTTTCAACAGATATTGTAACTATTTCTATAAATATAATATGTTTACATTGATTCCAGACTTTATGGACACCCTGTATAATACGGAAATGCAAACTTTAGGGAAACTTGAGATAAACTGATGTCAACTTTCACATTGTAATAAATCAGATAACCATTTGATAAACATAGTTGTTAAAATTTTAACCAACACACTACAGTAAAGAGATATATTAACATATCCAGTTCAACCAACACACTGCAAGAGATATATTAACATATCCAATTCAACCAACATACTGTAATAAAGAGATATATTAACATATAGAGTTCAATCAACACACTATAGTAAAATGATATAGTAACACATCCAGTTCAAACAATACACTGTAAGAAATATATTAACATATCCAGTTCAACCAACACACTCTAGTAAAGAGATATATTAACATATCCAGTTCAACCAACACACTGCAAGAGATATATTAACATATCCAGTTCAACCAACACACTGCAAGAGATATATTAACATATCCAGTTCAACCAACATACTGTAATAAAG